ACATCTCGTGATTTTTTCAAATTTAAATCTAATTGAAGGTTATCAAGGTCAAGATTTTGCCAAGAGTTCCTTCAAATCGGTGATAACTACAGCAATACGAATTAAAGTTGTCGTGACTCATACTTAATGTTGGTCAATGGTAAATATTTGAATTTCGTTATTTTCAAAAAACAAATTTACAAGGACTACAGCTGAATTGATTAATTAATAAATCTTATATGTATATACAATACAAATGTAGTCAATTTTTTATAGAATTGCTGGTCTATGGTTGTTGGTTACTGGTTAGTAAACAACCCAAGAAAAGTAATAAATGGAAAAAATATTACGATATAAAAAGACCATTGAACTAACTAAACGTGCAGTCAAGTCACACATAGACTGACTATACGACACACTTTTCATACATTTGCATGCGAAAAAAAACGGAAAAACAACAACGAAAATATTGTATTTATTTGGTTGTTTACTTTTTTTCGTCCTTTGCATTATTAACCAACAGCAATAACAGCAATAACAATATTTATTAGACCCTTTTAAGCAATTTTACTTATAAACATTGAAAAATGAAATTTTAATCACCGATTACAATCGGACAAATATTACTGTCGTTGCTGTTGTGGGACTGGTAGTATATACATATGCATGTATGTATATTGCTTGCAACAGCTTGTTGCCAAATGTTGCATGTTTAAGGGAGCATATAAAATGTTTAGGTGAAAAATTTATACACATGACGACGTAACAGTTTTTATGTGTAAATCATGTGTTGCAACGGAAACAGGTGAGGTGTTCGTAGTACTATTCGCTATTCAAATCTATGAAATTTTTTTATAAAATAAGATCGATCGATAAGCATAATTTTGCATATATTTATAACATTAAATGGGTGTAGAATTTTTCATAAAACAAAGCTGACCAGGAATCCACATTGCTTTCTAACTGAGGCTTTCTTTGTCCCGTTTGGGCTTTATTTGTTACTGGTGGACATTTTCCGTTAAGGGCGATTTCCTTTTTTTATATACTGGACATTTAGGATCAATGAAGTATATTTGTGGAAAAATTCAAACCCTAAGATCTTTTGCTTTAGGTCTTAGGTTTTTTGGTTTTGAATATCGCAGATTTTGTTACAGTTTTTAGCCCCTACTTAGATTCTATCGTTCTTTCAGACAGCTAAAAATACAGCTAAATTGACTGTATGGTAGACAGAAAACTGTTATAGTCAGCATAATCTAAATCCTCAAGGTGACTGACCATTGCATAGGGCGACGTTTATAAAGTATTACCAAGAACCTAGTCCATGATCAGCAAAACAAGAGACATTCCTGCTTTAAAACAGTCTGTGAAAGAAATTACTCTGAAACTCTACATTGGAAATCATCGTATTGCAATTTTATGAAGTTGGCTATTAATATATCCCATATTATGCATCGTAATATACACTTAATGGAGATTTTGTAGAAAAATACACTATTGACTGAGAGATCATCTGATCTTTACAAGTTTCTGCTATATACTTTAAAGCTTGACCTCAAGAACGATCGCAATATATTTAGCTTTGTCGAAATGATAAATATCTGCGAGTTTCAAAATAATACATCGGAACATAGGCCTCGAACTTTGAACATATGGACTAGAAAACCAATAATATCATCTTTATGTTAATATACTTAATCATTCCATTAAGACATGAATAGCGCTTCCAGAAATGAATTTAGGAACGCTCTGCGGACACAACAGCAGAATAGATGTCGTACAAACTGCATATTTCCAATGTATATTTTAAATCAGCAACCACCTACTACTAAATTTTAATGTGTCACCCAGAACGTTCTATAACAGATATTTGATTTTTCATAGAATTCAATTAATCACAAAAATACGCAATTAATTTACTGAACAGGTTTTTAATAAATACTTCAATTATTTTCAAATCATGTTATTTTGAGTATAGAAAATATTGCATTTAGTGCATTTTGTGAATTTGTGCATATGTACTTACATATATATCAACGTATTTAACTATTTAAACGACAAAAAAAACCCGTAGAGCATACAACAAAAAAAAAACAACGACAATTATTTTACATTTCAGCCCCAAAACACACAAGTTAAAATAAATATTCCCATTTTGAATTGACAAATAAATCGATTACTAACGATAACTTTCAATGAGTTATAACAACCTGGGGGTTGGTTCTTCAAACACAATTAAAACAAAAACCATAAAATATAAAAAATATAAATTCAATATTTACATTCGAACTGTATAATTTTAATAATTTATCATACACACTCATATAAACTCATATACACACATACATGTTTAGTTATAAACTTTTGCATATGAATGTGTGCAGGTGTATAATAAAAGGAAGTGGTTAGAATCCAACTCATTATTATAAATTTTAAATGAAGTACCATCCTATTCGACACTGTAGAATATAGCAAATATATTATTTATGTCGTTATGTGTACTCACTGTAAATAACTAGTTATTAATAAATAACATTATAAATAAAATAGTTTATGGTTTTATTGAAAAATAAAAATGTTGAAAATAGTGATTGCATTTTTTTAACCAAGCGCAGCCGTTGTTGGGCGAAGCCGAATTAGGATTTTTTCAAATGAAATAACTTCCCAAAAATATTAATATTTGCATTAAAATTATTGACCCTTAGACATTTTCTGAATTTTTTGTAGAGACACAAGAATATTTACAATAATTATGAGCTCAAAAGCCTTTTAGGGGGTTTACGGTTGTATGGGGGCTAGATAAAATAATAGACCGATTTAAACCATTTTCGATAGGCTGCGTCCTCAGTGGAAGGGTATGTGCCATCAAATTATCGTGAAAATTGTCATCTGTAGCGTGCGCACAAGGTTTACATGGACAAACGGATGGACGGATATAACTTAATCGACACAGAAAGTGAATCTGAGCTGATTGTATACTTCAAGGTGGATATTATATCAATATTTTTGGGTTTTAGAAACATCAGCACAAACGCATAATAACCTCCCCATTATAGTGGTGTAGGGTATAATTAATGTTCAAAAATATTACCATAATAAATGATTTCAATCGTGTTTCGTGTCAAGTGACCTAACTTTTAAAATCGATTCCGATTTGGATGAAATTTGCACCAAGCCAAATAGTAGGCCAGACAAAAAAAATTTAAATTAAAAAAAAATGGAAACAATGAAGAAATAGCTATCTGAACTCTTTTGGACAATTTTTACTAGGACCAATAGGTGAAAAGTTACGCTCATTTGAATAAAACCCTGTATGACCAAAATGTCCAACTTGGTGCAAATTTCGTCAAAATCGATTTTTTGAATTGGGTCACTTGACATGAAATTGCCCACATATATGTACATCACACTTTCATGCCCCCAGCTATTAGATGTCATTGCAGTTCATAACGATAATTTGACTGTATTCTAAGTGTCCCCTAAATGCCTTCTGGCTTCGCCCTAAATGTCTTCTGGCTGTCGATAAATATGTTAAGACTTATATTTATTCTAATGCAATTTACGCATTCCATTATTGCTCGGACTTCTGTCTGGAAGCTAGTGTTGTGATTAGATTGAATTAGAATTTAAAGCATTTCGTGTAGCAACGGATTCCTAAGGGTATTTGCACTAATGATCTGCCTGACCATGACATTCTATCTGTAATTAGTGCTTCTAAATTACGTATACGTTCCACCTACAGCTAGTCCACCTAAAGTTATGAGCCGATCACCTCATATCTTATATATATTTCAATGGATGGAATATCTAGAAACGTTTCCAGAGCCTTGGTTGACACCAGTTGACACCATATGACACCAGTTATACCCAAACAGCATATTCGCTGAACTTCCTGGGTAGTTTGATATTACACTTTTTGTCCAAAGCAGTCTACCAGATTATTGAAGCATAAGGTAGAATTGGTCTAATTACACTTTTATAAAGCCAATGTGTCATGTCGGACTCAGACCCCATTTCATGCCTACATAGCGCCCAGCACAGATGTGCCTTTTTGATCCTATTCTCTATGTGGTGTCTCCATTTATTTACTTAACTCTGTCTGTCACCGGTATCTTCTTGCCCAGGAAGCAGGGTTCAAAAGCAAAATTTCGCTATGAACATCTTACAATTTGAAGTAGAAATCTTTGACTTCGTGACAAATAGTGTGAAATTAGTGTTGTGGAGATTTTACTGTCTGTTTGAATTATACACTTCAATCGGTCCCATATAATTAGGAATGAACAATAGTGCCAATTAAATTTGGTTTGAAATAACTCCTAGTCCACTTTATAATAAATGACTGAGCTTTCCCACATCCATAAACTATTGCGACAATATTAACGATTTCCATAAGTAAAAATATGTATTCATTCCCCTCTTTCCTACTCCAACAAAACTGAAATTTACAAACAATGACTTCCCGCTGTTACCAAGACTTGAAGGGCAGAGAAACTTCAGGTATGTGTGATTACACTTTTAACCTATTTAAAATTCAACCAATTTACCAATTTTATTCTAACAAATTACAAATAAAATTACACAACTACGTGGCAGCCTAATGTACAAAAATAATTTTCTGTAAATTTAATGATTCAAATCCATTACGAACTGTGAATTTGTGTAAATGGAGGAATCATCGTCGTAGTCATGAAATAGATGATGGTTAGATGGTCTATTTAAAATTTATTTTTTATACAAACAAACCCGCCAATAAACTAAGTTAATGACTTGTTAGTGTTTTTAGTTGGGGCTTGGTTAAAGGTAATTGACAAATAAATTGATAAATTCATTAAAAAAAAGTCTTATTATTCATATGAGACGGACTAAAAGTAAAACGAGAGTAATGGGTCAGTTAAATAAAACTAGAAAGGAAAAAACTCATAAACACGTTTTTGTCATTTAGTTCTTTTAGAAGTTATTTTTTTCAACTTTTTTTGTTGAATTACCTTGAAGACAAAATGGAATGTCCTTTTTGTTCATTACAGTTTTTACGCGACGCCATTTAATCGTTGTTTATAAAACTCAACTCAACAGCTCCACTGCATATTACTCGTAAATTCACTCCGCAAAAGACAATGGCCCAAAGCGGAAGTTGGTCTAGTGGCAGCGGTAGTGGCTCGTCAACAGCTCAGAGTAGAGGATTGTCAACAGCTCCACCCCAAGAGGAACGTCTTTTGGTAAGTTATTTTAGACAATCAATTAATTAATTTATTTTTTTTTATTGATAGAAATCAATTTTATTTTGAATGTTTTGACTTTCGTTGTTTTTCACTATAATTGTTTACCTCTTGTCTAGGTGGCTGTTCGCGTTCGTCCTTCATTTGAGAATAGTGAACGTTGTATTGAAGTGGTTTCTTCAAAATCTCTTTTATTTGATGATGGTGGTCGGGGTAAAGCACGAAAATATTCGTATGATAATGTCTTCAAGGAGTCAGATACTCAGGTAAAATGTTAATTAAGTTTAATTACAATTTTTTCGGAATAAATTTAAGTTTTAATGAACGCGTGTAGTTTTATAAACTTAACGAATTCATAGCTAATTGTGGTAATCGATGCACAGTGGTGAAGAAAAAAACTTGAGGGAAATAATTCAGTGACTTCTAAACAGTTAGTACGATTTGAATGAAATTTCATATTCACAAAGAGAAAGTATTTTTAAGTTTAAGTTTCGAATTTGGTTTTGAATTCGGGGTTTTTTAACCCACATTTTAAATATGTCTTGCAGCAAATGAGCGATATATAGAATCTCCACTCGAGCACTATAAAAAATATGTGTTTTTTGATACCAGAACACAAACGAAGTAATAGTCCCACTTTGGGGACTCCTGGCAGTGCCCCTGGTCGACCTATGAGGTTCAAATTCAAAACATAAACTCAAAAGCAGGCTTATAGTTCATTATTAAAATTCTCATTTAGGGATAGTATTGCACCGCCTGCAGTCTGAAAGTATATGCTCAGAGGTCTCAACTAACAACCTAGTCACAATATTACTAAGAATTTATTAAGTACACAATGTTAAGTATATAATCACGTTCGTATTCTAAAGTTTTTTCTATACCACTGTGCGAAGTCCATTTATCTTATCAGAACCATTTTCCAACTCAAAAGATATTGTCGATTAAAATGATTCTGGTGCGATAAATGGGATTCGAACAGTGGTATAGAAAATTATAACAGCTAGTCCGATTTGAATGAAATTTTTCGTGCACAAAGAGGAAGTGTTTTAGAGTTCAAATTTTGAATTTGGACTTCAGAAATTCCAAAAGATATAATCGCTTAAAAATGTTCACTTTAGAATACTAACATGATTATATACTGGACATTGTGTACTTAATACAATCTTAGTAATGTTGTGACGAGGATGTAGGTTGAGACCCCTGAGCGTTTACTCTCAAACTATCCATCCTTAAAGTCTCGAACGAGGTTCCTTTGAGGTGCCCTACTAGACCTAAATGAGAATTTGGATGATGAACTATTGACCTGTAGATAAGTTCCAAAACGGGGGTTTTTAAACTTTAAGGAAAAACATTTCAGAGAAGAAACCAGATATGAATATTTAATAAATTCGAGTTGGTTTAGTTTACATTGCAAAAATAATTATATGTAAGGAATTAAAATAAAAAGTTGACCAAATTTTAACGACAATTTGATTTTACCGAATTTCTACTAAAAAAAAAATTTTATTTAACTAATAACTTTAGGAAACTGTTTACAAAACCACCACAGCACCTTTGGTCAAAGAAGTTATTAAAGGTTATAATGCTGCGGTGTTCGCTTATGGAGCCACAGGTTCCGGAAAAACTCACACAATGTTGGGGCCTTCACGCAAGAAAGGTTCATCGGCGGAAATTGATGCCACCGGCAGCGATTGTGGTTTAATGGTACGTGCAATAGAGGAAATATTTCAACATGTGGAAATGGCAGAAGATCCCAATTCTTGTAAGGTATGAGATTAAAAAAAAAACATTAATGAATGCAAATGTTAATAGCTCTCTTTTGAATATGTGAATAATAGGTTTCTATATCATATTTGGAAATATACAATGAATTAATACGAGATCTCTTAAGTCCGGGTGGTCCCTTGGAATTGAGAGAAGATAATCGTGGACAACGTATTACCGTAGCTGGCCTTTCTGAAATTACTACCTCTAGTCGTAAAGAAGTAGTTTCTTTATTGATGAAAGGCAATAAGGCACGCACCATGGAACCGACAGCTGCTAATCAAACCTCATCCCGAAGTCATGCTCTCTTAAGTATTTCGGTGCAAACAAAGACTCCTTTGGGTCTTAAACAAGGCCGACTATTTCTAACTGATTTAGCTGGTTCTGAAAGAGCCAAGAAGACTAAAAATCGTGGTAAACGTTTGCAGGAAGGTGCTCATATTAACCGTTCACTATTGGCTTTAGGCAATTGTATAAATGCTTTGTCGGGTGGTGCACGTTATGTCAACTATCGTGATTCGAAATTAACACGTTTGCTCAAAGAAGCTTTAAGTGGTAAATGTAAGACTGTTATGATTGCTCATGTTGCGCCAGAAAGTAAACATCGGGATGAAACGAAAAACACATTAGTCTATGCCGATAGGGCCAACAGTATAACGACACGTTTACAAAATTCCGTGTATGTAGATGAAATGCAAAATTTCCCCACCAAACATTATCAGCATTTGGTGTCTGAGTTAAGGGAAGAGGTGTCACGTTTACGCACTAAAATGTTAACAGATCGTCCTAGAAGTGGGGCTGCGGCAACAGCAACTGCAGCCCCAGAGGAGCCCGCAAAAGAAGCAGAAAGTGATGAAAAACGTAAAACGGAACTGCGATATTTGCGAGAACAAATTGTTTTAACTTTCAAACAACAAATGAAGTTAAGACGTAAACTATTGGAAGCTGAAAGTCATTTATTGGGTTTGGAATTAGATGCGGAGCGTCAGCATATGATAATATCACACTGGCAGGGACGTATGGGTAAATTATATGATACACCAACTGAAGATGGTGAGTTGAACTAGATATTAAGGCATAAAAGGATGAATAAGATTATATGTTTTTTAGACATTGAATCGGAGGGTACCATTGCCCTGAAAAATGCTTGGGGTGAATTAGCTGCCATTGAAAAAGAAACCAGAAGATATAAAGAAATACGTGAAAGAACAGAACAGGAATTGGAATTATGCCGCCAAAAAGGGGTACAATTGGAAGATGTAAGTTATTGAAATACAATTGAGGGAAATTTTGAATTTTATTTAATTTTTGTAACAGGAGTTACCTGAACGCATAAGCAGCGATGAAGAAAGAGAACTTTTGGCCTTACTATGTAGGGTACATGAACTAGAAGCCGATAAAGTTTCTTTACAAGCGGAAAGATTAGCTAGACAAGCTGAATTGCGTAGAAGAGATTTACAGCTGTTAAGAGCCGAAAGGCAACGAAGGTTATGTGAAGGTAAGAGAGCAGACAGACATATTTATTTAAAAACTTTTCATTAACCAATATCCCATTGTATGTATTTAGACATTATTAGTTCCCAAAGACGTTTAATAGAAGAGGGCAATGTAGAATTACCAGATGAACTACGCGAATTGTATGGTCTTTATCAGCAAGAAATACATGCTGGCACTGTAACCGCCACAGCAGCTTATGAACGCAAACTACCACCCATCTATACAGCTGGGTAAAAATTTAAAATTACATTAATTGAAACAAACAAATATTAATTTATTCAAATAGATCTGATTCCCCATGTTCCAGCTCAAGTTCAGAATGGTCTCCCTCCTCACCTTTACCACCCATTGAAGGTGGCCCAGCGATAGCCGAAATTGCAATAGCAGATAATCCTGATCGTCATATGGGACCGGCAGTACACTCCCGTTTACCCAAATTAGCAGCCACCAATAATACAGGGCCACCGCCCTCTAGAAGAGTTATGAGATTTAACAAATAAATACCACACTTACCCCCGTAGAATTTAGAATAAATATGTTTCCTTACAAGAGCCTAAGGAAAAGTGAAAAAACGTGCTGCAGCTCAGGGAAAATTTGAAAATTGTTGGCATAAAAACTTGTTGATTTGAAAATTGTAAATTCAAAATAAATAATATAATAATATTTATAAATATATTTGGACTATGTATTTGCAACGCACAATAACAGTAAATAAATAAATTTAGAAATTAACAATGTGTCCGTTATTTGTTCTTTACACGATTAAGTTTAAGAAAAAACTGAAGAAATCATTTATTATTAATTAATTTTCAAGTAAACAAAAAACAAAGGAATTTTATTATAAACACAACTAAAATATTTATGCACAATTTTTTTATTCTAAAGGAGATTAATACACCGGACCGATTTTCTCAATATCTTCCCAATATTTGGAAAATGTGTTGCGTTTTACAATTTTAAAGTGCGCGTGGCACCCATAATAATTAATACAACTTGTATATCTAAAAAATATAATCGATATTGTTATAGATTACACAGGCCGGCAAAATTTTAAAAAAGCCGAAACCCTAAGACCGAATTTTCTTCATAACATCTGGGATTTAAGATATCGTGTCCTGCAGTGTGAAAAAACGTTATTTTTTTGAGACTTTATAACAGTACCAAGATTGCTGACCAACACATTTTGTCAACTTTAAAATTACATTTGACATATCTTCATTCTCCTTTGAGATGTCTTCACCTAAAGCTTGAGACAAAAATTGGTTTAAAAATTTGTCGGCCTGTATTATTTGCAGTAATACAAAAGACTTAATCACGTTGAGGTGAGAGAAGAAGTATAAGACATAACTATATATACATATATGCATATGATAAAAGTATCTTATAAATGAAATTCAGGGTTATAGAATTCCGGAAGAAAACTCCTTTTCAGACCATAGTATTCAGAATACCTAAGCCGATAAAATTTTGGAATAAATCAAAATCTAAATGGACAATGTTCGAAACCTTACTAAGAAACCATTTAAAACAAGACAACTTTCAACCAAATGCCTTGTTGAAAATTTGAGTACAGCTGACCTCATCGATGACATGGGCAGGAGATTGGATGATATGGAAGAGACCATTATACTCTGATGTACTCTCATTTTCCACCTAGTATAAGGGTATTATAAATCAATACGCAGAGAAGGGAAGGCTATCAGAGAGATAATCGTTATAACTAGCATGGTCAAGGCCACACAAGTAGATCTAACATGAATTGAGGGAAGTACGGTGGGTATTTCTGATCATTTGGTTTCGACCTTGGACTTCGTAGTGACAACTTCAATAGTGATTTGTAGTAGGGATGAGTGGATTGGATCCGAAGTACTGTTTGAGAGGTAAGTGTACAATCTTCACTGATGGATCCAAGATGGAATCTGGCACAAGTGCCGGGGTTTATTTGGTAGATGGCAACATAAATGTGTACTATAGACTTCCGGACGAATGTAGCTTTCTTTCAGGCGGAGATCCTGCTAATATGGAAATTCGTGGACATTATTAAAACACACTATACCTACTAGGGGGTCGGAAATAACAATTTATGTTGATAGTCAGGCAGCTCTTAAAGCTGCAGTGTAAAACGTTACATTTTAGATTGGTAAATAGCTTCAAGAGGGAGCTGTAAGAGTTAATCAGGTTATACACGGTAACAGGGTAATGAGATCGCCTGGACCTCGAGCTTGATAGTAAGGTTGGTCCGGTAAGACCCCCATATAGACTTTCGAAAAATTCAAAAACTCCACAAAACGATACTGGCACAGTAGGCTGGACTGAAGTGTTTCTAGGACATTATGGCCGAAGTTAATTTCAAAAGAATACTATTAGGTCTGGACAAGGATTTTAGTAGGAGTGAAAACCGAACACTGCGCAATTGAAACCTTTAGGGGTAATAGGGTCGGCAACACACAGGATTTTTGCAGGTTGTGTGAGTACGAAGAGAAGCAGGAAACATCAAGGCATATTTTATGCAACTGTCCCAGAATACAGAATCTGAGACTGAAATGGATAAGCAAAAGATTCCTGGATGAACTGGGAGATGTAGTAGTGTGTAACTTAGGCGACATTCTGGGCTTCTTCAGGAGAATATTTTGGTTATTCAGATAACGGACAATTAGAGATTTCCCTTCCATGCCCACTTTCTTTCTTTGATCTTTTTAAGGAAGGGAATTCTCACTCTTCTTATCTTTATCTTATTTTTCTGTCTTCTTTTTATTTTTCCTTGTTCTTAAGGGAATCACAATGGACCTTTGAGTCTCCGAATGGATGTATTCCTTAGTATACAACCCTTTTAAACTAAACTAAGCACTAAAGGAACGGATGGAATTAGTTTCAACTCACGTGCGTAAAGACGAAATGTTGTTTTTGGGGGCTAGGCAAATAATTGACCGCTCGTCCTTGGGTCAAAAGGGGAGTATGTGCCAAAGTTCATCAAATTATCTTATAGCGCGCGCACAAAGTTTACATGGACACACAGACGGACGGACAGTTACCTAATCGACTCGGAAAGTTATTTTGACTTTAAGATGGATGTAGGACCAACATTTTTGAGGTTTACAAATATTAGCACAAACGCATAATACCCTAACCACTACTGTGATGTAAGGTATAATGATAGAGGCATTTGCTAAAAATTGGCTAAAATAACTTATTTTCTTTTAAATTTATAACAGAAATGAGGAAATATTTACTAAATATTTTGCCATCAAAAAATCATTTTCATGAAAATTTTAGATATAGACTATTAACATTTCTTGTTATTTATGTCTAGTTTTTAACTCAACCTCCTTAATTTTCCTTTAAATGCTATGAAACTTACACAAAAATCACTTACCAATATTAGATGTAAAATGTGATGTTTTCGATTGGTTACAAATTGAAATATCTTGTATATAAATGTTTTTGACTATGAATCTTGAAACTTGCTTAATTATTTAAATCTTGAATGTTAATTTTTCTTGAATTTTCTTTGGACTTGATTGAAGAAACTCAAAATTTTATAATGGTTTCAATTACCTGTGAATGTAAAATAAACAAAATAAGGTAATTATTAATTATCAATTTTATTATTATTATTATTTAGCATCATAATAGAATATAATTTTTATTAACTATGATTTTTTGTTTGTAATTTATTTTAATGTGTATGTATAAAGTATATAATTTATAAAGGGAAAACAAGAAAGAATAAAAATTATTGTTTAACTAAATAAAGTTTTTTTTGGATTCTTTGTTATTGGGTGAATATTTTTTATGAAAAGCACTAAAATCTCAGCTTTGGAATTATTTATTTTAAAAAAAGATAGCAAAACTAAGAATACAAAATTTTAAAATAGACGATTTTGAAAATTTTGACATACATATATGACATTGTTTCCAAAATAGAAATCTCGGGCAATTTTTTTTTTTTTTTTTGAATTTTGCTATTGTTTTTATATATATATATATATTTTCTGTATATATTAATTTTCTGTGTGTGGATAGAAACGACGAAACTTTTATGCCAATATTTATGTTACGAATTTTAAATTCTTACAACAAAATGTTTATGTTATTGAATTTATTTCAATATATCCTACTAAATGTTTAAAGCCATAAAATCTGATTAATAACTAATAAACTAATTGAAATAACCTACTAAATATTAATAAATTGTGTACGTAAAGAAAAGCAAATTTAATAAACAAATGCATGTTTGTATATAATATAAACGTACTTTTATGTAAGGAGAATTACATTGTCATTGAAAAATTCTTAATCGAAAAGCTATTGAATAAAAACTCATACTTAGAACAACTTTTCGTTAAAAATTTGTTTATAGAAAACTACTTTATTGGGAAATTTTTATAAAAAGGCGTTTCGTGAAAAGGCTTTCTATGGAATATTCTTCATTGAAATGTTTTTTTTTTATAGAAAAACTCTTAATTTATTTTTTAATAACAAATCTTTGATCAAAAAACTTTCCAGAGAAAAAATCTTAGAAAAAATGTCTCTATGAAAACACCTTATTGAAACGTTTTTATATAAAATAACTTCTCATTTGAAAGATTTCTTTAGAAACTTTTTATTCAAAAATATTCAATTTAAAATTTTTGATCAAAATTTTCATTTGAAGACGTTTTCATATCGATTAAAAAAAAGCGTTTCGTTGAAAAGTTTTCTATAGTAAAACTCTTTACTGAAAAGTTTTCTTTAGAAAAATGCTTTATTAAAAAGTTTTTTTTTTTTTATAGGATAAATGTACGTACTTGACGGAAAAGTTTTCTTGAGAAAAGCTTTTTATTAAAAAGTTTTCTGTCTTTAGAAAAACTCTTGGTCAAATAGTTTTTTTAGAAAAACATTCTATTCATAATTCCACTATAGAAAAAAAAATCTTCATTGAAACGGTTTCTATATAAAATTCTTTATAAAAATGTTGTATAGAAAAATAAAAAGCTTTCTAGAGAAAAGTTTTCTTTAGAAAAACTCCACCTTTTTATAAAACATCATCGTTGAGGTGAAAATGTTTCGAACATTTTTTATAACAAAAATAAATTTTAGAAAATTACGAAAATTTTTCTATAAATTGAATTTTAATTTTTATAAAAAAGAAAAACTTTTCTTTGTAAAAGAGAAAAAAATTTTAAATATTCTATAAAAAAAAATTAAAAAAATTTAATTTTCTATAAAAAGAACTATTTATAAAAAAAATAATTTTAAAGCTTTCTTTAGAAAAACTTTTCTAAAGAGACGGATTCTATAGAAAAGCGTTACATTGATAGGTTTGGTATAGAAAAACTGAAAGAAAAGTTTTCTGGAAAAGAAAAATTTATAAAGAAAAGCAATATATTCAAAAGGTTTTTCATTAAAGTACGTTCTTCTAATAGATTTGTAAATAAATTAAATTTTAACACATTTGAGCAAAAAAAAGATAATAAACTTGTTATTTTATATGAAGCCTAGCATTTTTTTTTTTAGTTTTTATCATATAAATTTATCATCTAGATTAATGATTCGTTTATATTATTTATAGTTTAAATTTGGACTTAATCATGTGTTATGTATGTAATTAGCTATGGGAATAGAAATAGATAGTTTGATGTTTATGTAAATAAAAAAAAACCGAATATTTAATAAACATATGACGGCGTTTTTACTGAAGTATAAAAGGGATTAGTTTTATCAAAATTGTTATATGCCTAAAAGACAATACTAATTTTTGAAAAATATTTCTTCTTAATATTGCTGTTGTTATTTTTGTATAATTTTTTTATTATTTTATATACCAGAGGATAAATGTACGTACTTAATTTCCAATGTTAATGTTTTTTGCTATAATACTAAACATCATTATATCATTGTAATCATATTCATTGTGTTATCAAAAGGCCTATAAGTTGAATGAATGTTAACAAAATACTATTATTACCATTATTATGTTTTGTATGAAATACTTGGAAAGAAAACTGCTTCACTTTATGTATGTATAAATTTTGTGGTGTTTGTTAGTTGTGTTTGTTTCCCTTATAAACTTATTGTTATTTAATATTTATATATATTTTCTTTAAAGAAATGCTGTTTCTTTTTACTGAATATGAAGTAAATTCTTGTCTTTGTGATTAATTTTATGTTCTTTTTTATGTAAAGAAATTATTGTGGCAGTTATTATGTTTGTAAATTTAAACACAAGGTTCTACATAATTGCCAGGGAATAAACCAGTTACACCATCCATAACACCCTCCCACCAACCATCATCGTTTTTCTTTAGAACATATAATACTGAACTCTCCTGAAAACTAAGTTCATCATCTTTGTCAGCATAATAATCATAAATGGCCACAACTGGAAAGAAGGGGTAATATTATTATTTATATTGTTTATCTTGTAGGTTACTTTACCTTTTTCTATATAGTTCTTGGGCACCCATCCTGGCAAATTTTGATCATCGGGCACTATGGGAGCTAATTGTCCCTGACCAGCTGAATTACGTGGTCTTCCAAAGTCATGATGCTCTTCCTCTGGTGGTGGTGGCGGTGGCAAGGGTGGTGATTGTGAGCCGGGTCTAGCAAAGTTTAAGCTAAAATGATTTCGGCTACAAGAAGAAAAGTTTTATTGATAAAATATTTATTAAAAAAAGTTCTATATACATATAAAATAATTTTTTGAAATGGTTGATATATTACAAAATTATGCAGGGACGAATTAACTGTGTATAACCTTCACCTTATAATGTAATATGTAAAAATTTTTTCTTCGTGGAAATAAATATGTAAATTAGGAAAAACAAAATAAACTGTTATAAATTTGTTTAGGTTAATTATTAATAAAAACAAATATTAACTTAAATGGAACTACCTAAACTATAAAAAGCATTTGTAAATTTTGTCCCCTCCCTTATTTTACATTTTTAAAATGCTATTCAATCACTGCCTATTCAAATGTAAAAATTTTGCGTCTAATTTAGAAACACAAGTGGAAATGTTGTAATATTTACAAATGGATCTGTGTATGTATATAAAACTTGTTTTAGTAAAAAAACCTTTTACCCAAATCCCTTTACTATCAAAGGCTTTAAATATTAAAAAACAACAATTTCTTTACCTGTTGCCATTTCTGCAGCATTGTAAAGAAGATTTTAAAAACAAATTAAACATATAAATAATATATTCACAAAATAAAAAACAACTTACCTATTATGATTACGCCCCAAAGTATGCATGCCAATGTGACTCTGTTCGGTGATCTCATGTTGGGAAACTGTCAAGGGAGAAGGTGGTGCTGTTGTACACATAAAATAATACAAATACAAAGAAGAAAAAAACAAAAGAAAAACAAAAAAGTTCATCAAGTCAATTACAATTAATTGAACATCTTTGACTGATTGTAAATAATAAAAGAAAAAGGAAAAAAAAACTAGTTTTATAAAACTTACGTGGCATACTATTACGATCATCGTATGTAGTGGGTGGTGGTGGTGGCAAAGATTGCATCATACCAGCTGAGGGTAAATTAACATGAGTTGCAATCTGTTGGCTTGGCGGCATGGGAAGAGCACTGTAACCAGCAGCACGTTCATTATTAACAGAACTATTTGCACCCAAACCAGTACTACTGACACCGGTGGCTGTAGTACTCGAAGAGGCCGAAGACAAACGTTTTGGATGACCAATGGGATAGTTGGGTGCATAGTGTGAGGGTACTTGCGGTGGATTGACCACCGGAGGTGTACGATATTCGCGTGAACTTTTACCCAAAGTACCGGTATTACTCACAGACTTGCCCAAAGTGCCAGTATTGCCACCACGTGACATTTGGGGCGGTGTGGGTGGTTTTGTGGTAGGTGGTGGTCCCACTACCGAAGGTTGGGCCAAGGATTGAACCGATCCATGTGAAGAGCCACGATGTTGTTGTTTAGGATTACGATTCATTTGATTGGTATTGACACTATGGCCAATATCATCCAAAATCGAATAATCAATAGCCTTGCGCACATATTTAATGGGCTTTTCCGGATTGATGGGCGCCACAATTTTAAACTGACGAGTGCTAACTTTATTGGCGGTAAGGACACCAATTTCTCTGGAAAAGAACTATTTTGAGAAAGATTCATATGTAATTTTTTTTAAATAATTACCTCCTGGCCACCTTCTCCTTGTGAATCTGGACCGTTTGGGCTATATGATTCATTTGTGATTCCATTTCACTCAGCTGTTGAGCCTGCAACTCCAATAGCTGCATATAACTGTAAGCCAGTGTATTAATTTGATAAGCTACACTGGCCAACGATTGTGTGGTGTAGTTTTTGGTGGCTTCTAAAGCGGCCTTCTTATTATCGGCTCTATAGTAAGTGTCCTCACAATAGTCGGCCACCCTTTCCAGATTGGTATAACTGTCGCGTAGACTTTGACGTCCATCGGGAATTTCAGTGCGTATTAGTGATGCTAATTCGTCCATTATATTCTCACCCATGACCATAACACTATCACAAGGGTTTTTAAATTATCTTTTGTTTACTAGCAGACCTAAAAATAGAAAACAAACAAACACCCACGCTCAATACAATGTTTCTATATAACAAATTTTGTAATAAATAATAAATCCAAAGACAAAAAACAAACGGAAACAAACAATTCTTAATAAGAATAGCGCTGCCTAGGGCGGTGACTAAGAACTGATGCTTCGCAGTCGTCATAGACTGCATATAGCAAAAACTACAAAAAACACAATAATAGTGTATATTTAAGAAAATATAGGCTAAACATTTAGCAGCAGCAGATCTCTGTCAGCGCAAGGGTGCTACCTCACACAGAGCAGCGAAAAAAAACTTTTAGAAAAATTATATTTTATGCACTTTAAAACTTATATTTCATAGAAAATTTTTTGTTTTCTTTTAACACTCACTTTATTTAATTGATTTTCGCACTTTTTCGTTAAATTTTTAATTATTTACTAAGATATTTGTGCAAAATTTTAGGAAACCTTATTTTTCACATTTTCAACGTAGCAATTTCTTAAATGACATCTGCCTATCGATGGCAGAGTTCAAAGTCTGTTAAAATTAACAACGGCGTTTGGATTTCTGTTAAATACAACTCTATAATGTTAAGTGAGGCAATGTCGTTGCTAATGCAGTTCTCGATAATTGTATTAATAGAACCGTTATTTTTAAGCAAAAAGTAATACACATATTTCGTAAACATATATTATTTAATAGGGCCATTTTCCAAAAGTCTGAATGGAATAGAAATTGAAGTGAATAAGATAGACATTTTGTGACGTATTTCATTCTTTATAGCAGTTCGCACTCGAAAAATAGCTTTAACACAATGCTTCGAAATAATGGTGTTTAGTTCACCCAAATACCATCTATCTAATATCCTTAAAACTTTACATGAACATTGCTAGGAACATACATAAATATGTATGTAGTAATTAGGCTTTGTTCTAGAAACAATAGATAGATAGAGTAGATAGATAGATAGATAGATAGATAGATAGATAGATAGATAGATAGATAAATAGATAGATAGACAGGTAGGTAGATAGATAGATAGATAGATAGATAGGATAATAGATAGACAGACAGATAGATAGATAGATAGATAGATATATAGATAGATAGATAGATAGATGATAGATAGATAGATAGATAGATAGATAGATGATAGATAGATAGAATAGTAGATATAGATAGATAGATAAATAGATAATAGATAGATAGCTAGATAGATATATAGAAGATAGATTAGATTAGATTATAGCTAGATCAGATAGAATAGATAGATATATAGCTAGATAGGATTCTAGATATATATACAGATATATAGATGTATATAGATATAAGATAGTCTAGATATATAATCGCTCGATAGATAGATATATGAGAGATCGCTCGCTCGCTCGCTCGCCTCGCTCGCTCGCTCGCTCGCTCTCGCTCGCTCGCTCGCTCGCTCGCTCGCTCGCTCTCTCGCTCGCTCGCTCGCTCGCTCGCTCGCTCGCTCCTCGCTCGCTCGCTGCTCGCTCGCTCGCTCGCTCGCTCGCTCGCTCGCTCGCTCGCTCGCTCGCTCGCTCGCTCGCTCGCTCGCTCGCTCGCTCGCTCGCTCGCTCGCTCGTCGCTCGCTCGCTCGCTCGCTCCTCGCTCGCTCGCTCGCTCGCTCGCTCGCTCGCTCTCTCGCTCGCTCGCTCGCTCGCTCGCTCGCTCGCTCTCGCTCGCTCGCTCGCTCGCTTCCTCGCTCCTCGTCTCGCTCGCTCGCTTCCTCGCTCGCTCGCTCGCTCGCTCGCTCGCTCGCTCGCTCGCTCGCTCGCTCGCTCGCTCGCTCGCTCGCTCGCTCGCTCGCTCGCTCGCTCGCTCTCTCGCTCGCTCGCTCTCTCGCTCGCTCGCTCGCTCGATAGCTTGATAGATAGATAGATAGATAGATTTTAATTCAAAAACATACACTCCCCGAACAATTCAGACGCAGTCAGGTTTCGATTCCCGCAAGAATACATTTTATTTTATTCAAATTTTCACTTCTATTAAATTGAAAGGTCTTCATTCCAGCACGTTAAAACATTTACTCAAAAAAGTAATATATATTTCATTTTATAAAAAAATAATACAAAATTCTTTGTAGGCTATAACATAATACATCGCTCATTTATTACAAAACTGGCATAATTAAAAAAGTGGTTTCGAGTTAAATGGTATTGAATGTTTAATGACTTTTTACCATTTTAAAATATATTTTCAACAAATCAAGGGACTTAAAAATTGAACCTGATTCAAATAGTAGCGGTTAATTAATATCTTTCTCTTCTGATATGAAATTAGTTTCGATCTCGCACCAAAAATAACACATGTATTTTATATTTAACAAAACTATATGAAAGACTTTAGTATGACGCATGTTTGGTTGCATTCAGTTCAAAAAACTCGAATTTTGGATTATGCCAGTCTTGTAGTAATATGTACGTATTGCTTAAATTTATGTTTGTAATAATATTTTATCAACTAAATCCTGGTTCAGTTTAAGTAACAATATATTTTCTATATTAGTTGAACTTAAGTTTGTATTGCGTTTCATAAACGTCAATGGCCAAGCATTTAAAGCTCTATTAATTGTGACCTGTGTAGCAGGAGCTGCCAAAGCTATTTCCGCTATTTTTGCCAATATAGGATTTTTATATTTTACCACTTTCCAATAATCCAAAATGTTAGCATTAAAGGGTAGCCTTTCATGAAATTGTAATTTCTCTAAAGCTTCATTTAGCCATTGGCCGTCCATTATATTTAAAGATGCTGGTGGATAAACTGTAGGCATTTCCATTTTTTCTAATATATTCCTCTCTAATTTCTCATAGCGATCTGTAAATTTTGTACATAAGCTCGAAACATTTTGATTATTCTCTACTGATTTTAATTGATTGAATATTTGCAGTAGTTCAGCCTATTAATGTTGAAAATTAATGAATATAATAATTATTTACTGATCAATAAATAACTACTTACTATTGCTGTTTTCTTTTGCTTATTTTTGAAATGTATAGTGTCTGCATGACAAAATCTTGGATCCAGATATAGGGCTGCCAAAAAGTTTTTATTTTGAAATAAATCTTCTTTTCGTTTACGTAAAGATTCTAGCAAATATAAGGCTAATTCATTACTAGTAGCTAACTCTTCCAATTCCAACTCACACATTAGCCATTCTCTATAGAAATCCCCCATTATAAAATGTTTATCGGTTTGCAGCATTATGACCGTGTTAACAACTGGTCTAAAACTTGCTTCAAATTTTAGAACAAAAGTCCAATCAACTTCTACCATTAATTCCATATTATTCTCAATTTGGTCACGTATATTCAATAAAGATTTAATCATATCATAAACGGAACACCAACTGATGGAGCTGTCAAGTTCCGGTAAAGGTTTTAGATTTAAACCAGGCATTTGCAAGCGTAATCTTTTAACAGAATCACGACTTTGACTGATATTTTCATTTAACTGTTGTATTATATCACTTGCGGCAAAATGTAGAGCATGTCCGGGAAATCGATCACACAAATGTTGGCAATATTCATTTGTAGGAGGATAAATATAAGTTGCATCTTTTTGCGGCAAATTTTCTACCACGTTCTCATTTATGTGAAGGGAATCTCTGACATAGGCATTGTCCTTGGTTGTAGAAAGTATCTGGTTAATATCTATCTGATAGTAATCCAAAGTGGTTTGTATCACTTTCTCTAAATAAGGGGACACGTTATCATTTGGTAATTCCAGAGCGCTTAGTGTAAATACCTTGAGTTCAAAATCTTTAATAAATTGTATATTTATTAGCATTACTTTACTATCTTCTTTGATAGCCGTATCGAGTTTAAGATATAGTAATCTATTGTCTACAATTTTACTAATATCCTGCTGTAATTTACATGCAATTTGATCTATATGTTCTCCAACTGTTTTCAAATTACATTTAAGTTTAAAATTTTGTTTCATTGCTGGCAAGGCTTCTTGGAATGTATTGCCATCTTGAAATTTGTTTAAGGGTATATTTAGTAGTGTTTTTGTTTCAATAAAAAATTTTAAAAGCTCCTCCTGATGACATGAGTCCAAAGCAGCTATTTCTATATTATTAATATATGTATTGGCGTCAGTCTGTTGCAGCGAATATATATTATTAGTTTGAGTTTCTTTCGTTTCTACTTTAATTTTTTTATAATTTGAATTATTTGCTGGAAGTGCCTCTTCTTCCCTTCTTTTTGCAACTGCATTTAGAGGTTTATATTCAACATCAATTTGCTGGGATTTTTTATCTTCCTTATTTCCACTTGCACTTATTACCATATCGTGGATTTGTTCATAGTGTCTTTTAATATTACCCATAACATTTTTTAACTTTTTCTCGCAAAGCAAACAGTTAGCATATTTGGGGTCTTTCAAAATCCTTACCATTTGTTTGGGATCATAGATTTTGAAACGTCCCATTGCTTTCACGTTTTACCAAGATACTTTGAATGTATGATTTATTTTGTTAGCAACAAATTATTTTTTTTAATCTTAATGCTAATAATCTTTATAATATATCTATATTTGCTTGTTGTTTTAGAGTTTTTTGAAATAAATTTTAAAAAATTTTAGTTTGTTTCTTTTCACATTTAGTTTGATTGAACAGCTGTATTGTAGTGTTAACAACTCTAGATTTAAGAACTATTCCAAAAGGGGAAAATAGATGTTCCAAATATGTAAGTGGGGAGAATTCACAATAGCATATTAATATATAGATGTTCTAAGAAAGAATGCATTCTTTTTATAGTTAATTGACCTTAATTTTTCATTCGGCTTAACATTTTTAACATATGCATTTAAAATTTATTTTTCTCGATATAAAAAAACTGAGATCTTGCTTCTTAAGCTCAATTTTTATTATTTTCTATTGAAAAATGAAGTACATATTTAAATAGATATAATTTTAATTTCCAAACAGTAAGTTCACCAGTTCAGAAATAATTGTGCAACGACATTAAAATAAGTATGGGTAGATTTCAAAAAACACCGAAAACAATTTACTTCATGTTGTTTTCGTTCCGGACCAAATGAATGTTTCTTGATTTTTTTTTCGATGCCGATTACAGTATATACAGTGTCTCTCATAAGTATTCGAATTTAGGTAAACTATGAAAAGAAACCAAATTTAATAATATATTTTGTGTGCAATAAAATAAATTAATTTGTTATATTGTCTAGACAGTCCTTAGGTTTGATATCACGCTTTTTAAAACTTAAAAAATTTACATTTACTTTAATTAAATTAGCTTTTTTTAAAAAAGTCCATAAAATTGTCTCACAAAAGTATACGAATTTTTCCTGTATTTCATATTTGAGCATATTATACGAAACACAAATTTTAGAATCGAATGGTTTTTATGCTTTAAATTGTTTTTTAAACGATCCAAGATATATTATTGATATCATTATTCTGTCGCTAATTCAATATATTGGAACTTAAGTCCATTTTCATAATACTAGGGTCAAAAATTTTCGGGGAAGTTTTCTTGTATATATTCTTTTAGATATCAGCTTTTATATATTTTAAGTTTTCAATGTATTGTGGAAGTGTACAACTCCAAAACATGCCTCGAAGAAACACCATTCAATATGGTAGTATCATTATTTTTATATACCAATGACCTCCAGGCTGCATGCCTCTATATCATTATGGTCTAACTCAAAAATATCAATATCTCTTTAAATATTGATTTCTATGATCAAAATAAACCCAAAATTTTGGACTTACAGTGTTATTGTAATGGGCAGCATAAGGTGAAAGTTACGAATAGTAAAAACTGAAATCTACTGTATAGGATGACGTTTTGTAAAGACATTTTTTGGAATTGTATGCCGATATAATGTATTGAAAATTTAAAATATATTAGTGCTAATATGTACATGAATGTATACTAGCCAACATTGTCGGAAAATATCGACCCTAGTGGTACAAAAAGGGACTTAAGATCCATACAACTCAATTAGAAACAGAAGAACGATACTAAAAATACATCTTGGAACATTTAAGTACAGATCCATATAACAAAAATTATTATTTTTAGATGCCTCAAGGGGTCTATTAAATCCCAATATTAAAGTTTGGGTTTATTTCTGGAAAAAAGGAAAAAAATTGCAAATATGGTCAAAAATCGCCATTTTAATGATATTACATGAAAATATGGTACAAATGCTCCAAAATTGTGGAACAAATGGGCCAAAAATATATAATTTCGGTCGATAGTAACCCCTTAACACAATTTTATGCAAAACAACACTCGATTATAATTTTTTTGTTTCGTATAATATGATCATATATGAAATACAGGAAAAATTCGAATACTTTTTTCAGGCAATTTTATGGACTTTTTTTAAAAAAAGCAAATCAATTGAGGTAAATGTAATTTTTCCAAATTTTAAAGAGTGTGATATTATACCATAGGACTCTCTAGACAATATAACAAATTTAATTATTCATTTCACACACAAAAAATATTATTAAATTATGTTTCTTTTCAAAGTACAACCAAATTCGAATACTTATGTGAGACACTGTATGTGGAAAGAAAATAAAATATTAAAAATAAACCAAAAGTCCCGTTTATAACTATCATCCATAATGCAAATAAAATATATTTTTAACAAAAAGGGATATATATTTGTTCTTTAATTATCAAAAATATTGTTTTACAAAAAATGCTTTATTTTTCATTTCATACAGACACAAAACTTAAAACTACTTATCGTTTTATTCGAATTTGGCTTCTTTTACAAACATATTTGAGCTCAGCTGCGCGTTGCTTATCAGTATCAAACAGAAAACTAATAAAATCATGAAATAGTTCAGAGTTCAGTATGTTTAAATATAGTTTTCTCAATGTTTTCTTGAATTTTTTCAACTTTACGCGATTGTTTCTTAATTGTATCTTCCATATCTTCAAAACGATTTGATTTGTCTTTGTGTTTTTCATTTTTATATTTTTCCTTTTGTAAAGCATGCTCAGCATGTAAGTGACGCAACTTTAACAGACGCGATTCAAAATGATGAAGTTCACTTTTAATGGAGGATAATTCATTATCGGTAAAATTACTAGCCTGGGCCACACGCCATAAACCCTGTACCTTAGGTTCTATGAAATCTTGACTGTGAGGACCGGCAGATACTAAACGCTCCAGGCGATCATAGTGATCTTTAAGACCGCGATGATGTTCACGCACCTCATTAATGTGATTTTCATATTTCTTGGCACTAGCGGTGGGGGTATCTATTTCATTATCATTGGGATCACTGGGTATCATGTTAAAATTTTCCAATTCATCTTCATTAATGGCATCTGTTTGGTAGCAGGGAATTAATATTAGTTAACAATAAAAAACATATTTGTTTTACTTACTTTCGTGTTTATTGACATCCACTTGCGTTCCCAAGTTTTCCAATAAACTGTAGTAAACATCGACCTTGTCTTGATGATGTTCAAATTCTTGTTTTAAAGAATTCAACTCTTCTGCAGTAAAACCGGAAACTTCTGCCTTTTCCCATAGCTTGTTCAATTTCTTATCTTTAAACAGGCTCTTGTTGATGTGACGTTCCTCGGGATCATGGAATTTTTTATATGGTTTCACTTTATCTTTGTCCTCTGTCTCCTCAAAATGTTCTAATAGATCATAGGAACTCATTATACCAATCAATTTACGCCTCAGCTCATTTTCTTTAAGACCATCTTTATCTTTATGTTGAGAATTCAATTGTTTCCAAGTAATTTCTTCTTTGTCTTGTATTTTAAGTTCCATATACAAGGATTTCAATTTGGGTTCGGTCAATCTCTATTAATGTATTTAATTTAAGTTTTTGTTTATAATTTTAAGAATTTTAACTTACATTTTGTGCTTTAGCCCATACTAAATTTAATTTAGCCATTCGAAATGGTCTTTGTAAAGTCCGGAAGTCGGGATCATAAGTCTCAGATTTCACTTGTTCAAAATGCGGGTCATTTGCTTCTCGGGAATATTTTTTTGCCTTTTTATCAGCCAACGTACAAGAACAAAGCAGTAATGCTGCTATTATGCATAATTTAATTTTAAACATAATTTTTACTTAATTATTAAATTTATTTATAATTTATTAACTTTTTCTGAGATTTATTAAAATCCGGCAATTGTAGACAATAAAAAATAAAACTAATAATACCGCTGACATGTAATTTACACGTATTTTTAGTATACAAGTCGAATTTTATAAGGTAACAGCAGTGCCTTATTCGTTAATAATTTGTGTTGGCGTTTGACATATCAGTGCCCGAGAGAATATTTTTTTATTTGAATGATATGACATTTCTCCACACAAAAAGTATAGTCAGCTGTCTCATCAATATCATCTTAAATAAATTCACTTTGGTGCTGTTCATTACTAAGGCTGCCAGAAATTTATAGTTACTCGGTACGGCAATGTTCCCAATCAATATGAATCTTATAAAGATGTCCAAAGAAAAACGTTTTTTAATATAAAAAATTATTTTAAAATAAAATAAAAATAGTTTCTAAAAATTATAGCTTACCCCGCCCCAAAATGTGGCAACCCTGTTAAGGATGAAGCAAAAGAAATCATTCACAATAACAACTAACACCGAATTAGATGCTGGTGGGAGATCAACCCATGATTTGTTATTTAATCAGCACCCTTTGTCTCAACTATTTCTCCAAACACTATGGTGGCCGAATATTTACAAGAAACAATTGTTAAGCCGCCTTTTATACAAATTTATAGCTTTGTAGAGAATGTCTTCACGGACCTAGAGGATATAACCTGGCTAGGTATGTAGATGTTGTTTGGGCAAAATATTGGTACTAACCATTGTGCGCTTTATGTCGACTTTAGATTCCTTATAGTTGTCACACTATACCAAATAAGCATTCTTGCTGGAATTAAAGTTTGAAACAAGTTTAATTCCAGTCAAACATTCAAATTTCAAGTGTTGAAATACACTTTCATTACGCTTTGAATTCAAGTCGAACACTACAATGTTTTTACAGTAATTCAATGCACGAAATCTATATATGTACATCGTATATAAAATTCTAACGTTCTAACTGACTGATTCATCATCGTAGAGCCTAAACGGTTGAAGCTAAAGAGCTGAAATTTGGGCAGGTTGTTAGTCTCCCCCCAAATGTATCCAATAAGACGGGATTTTTGGAAATTCGAATTTTTTGGGGGTTAAAAAAGGGTAAAAACGTAAATTCGGTAACCTCAAATCTCCTAAACTAGAAAAGTTACAAAAACTGTTGATGCTTATCGTCGTTCATTTAAAAAAAGCGGACAGGTGTCCGGTAATTTCTTCAAATTCGGCCCCTTTGGGGAATAAACGGGTAGAAAGTAATTTGGTACTTCTTGGTATCTTTTAAACCAGAGAACATTCAAAAAATATTTTTGAATCCTTCATAACTTTACGAACAAATAAAAATATGAATTTAGTACTTTTTGGATATTCGGACGTTTAAGGGGTGAAAATTGTACCTATTTTTGGTACTTTTTTATAAAAAATTGTTTTTGGTTTATTAACTTATACATATGAATATATAATAACGGGCTCCCAATACGATGTTGCAACTGGTACTTTTTTGACTTAGAACTTAGAAACATGTAATTAAGCACTTGAGAATCTATAAAAATGGACTTTTGGTACTTTTTCGTTCTTCAAAAGGTACTTTTTGAGTTTTCTATTAAATTGAACATAGAAACATGAAATTATGCACGTAGAGCCTGGAGTAAATGAGTATCTATAAAATGGGAACTTTATCGACTGGTACTTTTTGAGTTTTCCATAAAATTAAACCTAGAAACATAAAAATAAATATGTAGAGCCCGGAGTAAATTATAATCTATAAAAAGGGACTTTTTAGTACTTTTTCGTTCTTCGACTGGTACTTTTTCAATTTTTTATAATATTGAACCTAGAAACATGAAATTAAGAATGTACAGCCCGGATTAAGTGATAACATATAAAAGGGGACATTTTGGTACTTTTTCGTTCATTGACTGGTACTTTTTGAATTATTTATAATATTGAACCTAGAAACATGAAATTAGGAATGTACAGCCCGGATTAAGTGATAACATATAAAAGGGGACTTTTTGGTACTTTTTCGTTCTTCAAAAGGTATTTTTTGAATTTTCTATAATATTGAACCTATAGACATAAAATTAAACCTGTAGGGCATGGAGTAAGTGAGAACATATAAAACGGGACTTTTTGGAACTTTTTCGTTCTTCAACTGGTTCTATTTGAATTTTCTATTATAATGAACCTAAAAACATAAAACTAAGCAATCAGAGACTTGAGTGAATGAAAATTTAAAATGGAGTATTTCTGGTAATTTTTCGTTCTTTAACTGGTACTTTTTGAATTTTCTAAAATATTGAATATATAAACATAAAATTAAACACGCAGTATCCTAATTGAACGAAAATTTATCTCGCTTACATCCATTTTGCAAAAAGGGCTCGATATCAATCGAAATCTCTATAGGCCATAATTGACCCTGCCCCCTTCAATAATTGATTTTAACGTTTTCTAAGTACTTAATAATACCATAATAAAACAAATTTTTTTGGAACGAAAATATGTAATGTAAATATGTATATGAAATCTTCTTCAGAAAATGACTTAAACGCACATAAATGGCTTTCAAATGTCGATGTCTACGAAAAAACATTTTTAGGAACCGAAACCCACATTTATGAAAAATAAAATTATGAGGATCGGTCCGCCAATATAACCCTCTTACAGAAAATCAGTTTATAGCTAATACATCATTCCAAAAGTTATCATTATGATAGAATTATGGTAGAATTAAAAACAATACTTTAAATTATAGAGAACTTTGTCCATAATTGATCCAATTCCACATTTAAGACCCTAATCCGAAAATCACGTTGACGTTCTTATTAATCTAATGATCAAAGTCCATAAATATATGTATATGACCACTTCCGAAATTTGTTTTTTTACGACATATGATTTACCGAATATAACTCTTACTTCTTACTTATTTTAATCATAAATTACAGCTAAAATAGGAATAGTCTGCCTTTAGAGTTGCGAGTTTTCATACACTCTAATAATGTTTTCAAAGTGAAACTTTTGGAATATTTTTCAATCTCTTTGTGATCCCTTTAAATGATGTTGTTCTGGAAGAACTTTAACATTCATGTAAACATTTTGGGTAATAAATTGGGGGACTACCAAAGAGGGGAGCGGAACCTCCCATATGAATTAAATACAAAAATTCGTTTATCTGGGAAACTAATAGAACTAAATTCTTAAAATTTTGCACGAAGAACTTTAATATTCATCTGAACATTTTGGAGAAAAAAGGGCGGACTTTCATCTGGGGGGCTTGAATTAAATAGAAAAATTCGTATATCTGAGAAACTATTAGATCTAGAATCTTCAAATTTTACTGAAGAACATTTAGAGAATAACGGGCGGACTTTCAATGGGGGGCTTGGCACTTCCCATATGAATTTAATAAAAAATTTTGTATATCTGAGAAGCTATTAGATTATTCAAATTTTTATAGATTAAATTAAAATCTTAATTAACGTTCGGAATAATTGGCGAAATTGCAATAATTTGCGTGGAATCTCCCATATGTAACAAATTGTATATCTGGAAAACCATTGTAGTTAGAATCATTAAAATCGTTAAGTGGGTTTCTTATTTATATTGCTTTTAGGGTAGCACAGCACACTGGGTATAGCTAGTAAATAAACAAATAAAAAATCTTTGTTAGAAACTGGTTTTCTGCAATATGTTTTATAAAACTTGGAGAAAGGATTTGTTTTTAATTTTTAAGAATTTTTTATTCATCCCTGCATAATTTCTCACACAATTTTTGAGCTTGCTCTGTTTTGTTGTTATAAACAATATATTTGCTTCCAAAATCCCACTTTCTGATCTCTCGGATTCCGTTTTTATTTAAAATCGTAGAAAAATTAAAAACTAAACGTAGTTGAAAACTTAGCCGGCTTACAGTCGATTTTAAGTCGCCGCCGACATATTTAGTGTCAGTCACCGCCGCCGTTAATATTTGTCGGCGCAGGGCTCTGGTACGGTGTGGTTTATTTTTACACATTTGTTATTTAAAACGAAATAAAGAAAATTAATTAAAATTAAGTGTTGTGTGTTGTATTTTAGAAATATTACAATAAATTTAAATTCTTTATACAAGACTTTTTGTTAAATATAAGTGAAAAAATGGCTACGTTACCGCCACGTAAAAATCCCACACCAACTCGTATATCTAAACAACATTTAACGCCTCTACAAACTTTACTACAAATGGGCTTCCAAAAACACAGAGCGTAAGTATTTTTTATTGTAAAAGTATTGTTATTTTTATGGAAAATATGTGTGAAAAATTAAATTAAAGAAAAATAGCAATTGGGTTTGTTATTGATTTTCTTAGGGGCAGTGTTGTTAATTTAGCTATAGTTTTTGTCAGTGAAAGCTATTTTAATATTAGTTTAGCAGTAAAGTATTTTAGATGAGGGAATTCTAGCGATTTATTTTTATGTTACCAGATTTCATAATTTTTCTACTGTAAATGATTCAAAATTTAACGGTATTATTATTTCATTTTCTTTTTATTTAAAATTTTAATATACTGTAAATCTGTTTTCATATAGGAAATCTTAAATTTGTTAAAGGCACATAAAAGTGTATAACTATTTATATAGATAAAGTAATTCCATATCATGTATAGAAAGATAATGTTACCCATTTTCTTTAAATAACTTTTCAGAGAAAAGGCTTTAGCATCTACTGGTAATCGTGGTGTACAAATTGCCTCCGATTGGCTTTTGGCTCATGTTAACGATAATACCTTAGATGAGTGTACACCGCGTGAATATATTTTATATGCCTGTCCAACAGGACCATTTCTACAACAACTAGAAGAATTTTGGACAAAATCCAGACAAGTGTGCGGCTGGAATGGAGCCCACAACTATGTGCCACATATTACTTTAGTATCTTTTTTTAAGGTAAGTTCACATATACATATTTTCAAAACAATAGAATTTACTTTATTTCCACAAACAGGCTCCCGATGAATGTTCCCTGCAGCTGTCCAAGGCTTTAAAACAAGTAGTGGATATGACCGGAGCATTGCTAGATCGCCCCATTAAACTGGAATTATATATGAGTCAAAATTTTATGGGCTTTTTTGTGGCCGAAGATGATGC